CCAGATATACTTTGAGAACTGCCTGTTTGCGTTTACAAACTGAAATGAACTTCTTATCTTTCGCATTTGGTGCTGGCAGCAAGCACTTTGCCTTTTTTTATATTATATGTGAGTTACTTTGAGTATCTTGAGGAATGACTGTTTCCATGAGCAAAATGATAAGGTTTATCTTATTTTTTGTTATTTTTGATGATATGTAACAAGTAGCTAATTCATGTTTCCGTACAAGATATAGCTATACGAACTCTTTTGAATATTGCCTTATTACGTGAGCTAAGTGAGTTGGTTTACTTACTATAACTTTTATTTTTGGTGCTGACAACCAGCGCTTTGACTTTTGTTTATTTATTACATATGAGTTACTTTGTATACTTTCTGTTTGCGAGAGCAAATTTAAATTAATTTGGAATTCTCGACTTCGTAAATGATTTCAAAAGATCTTTTTTGCATCAAATGGAATTTGGAATTTGTTGAAATATATGACTTGATATAATAAGTATGCATTAAGATTGTATATTAGTTAAAATTAATCTGCAACATAGGCAGTGGGGATAAGAATGAGGTCAGGAAAAAGCGGGGTCACGTAGTACAGATTTCTTTCTTCAATTCTTTGTAAAATATAGGTAAAAAATATAACCTAATCTTTTGTATCATGCATTTTTCTTTTTGATATGGCTGATTTAGTTACGTAATATTTAATCTTTCAATACCATTTTTCAGAAGACTGAATGCGAGTATTATCGTATTAAGCATTTTGGTGAAATCTACAACACTCTCTTCATAGCAGTGTACTAGCTATAATTTAGACAAGAACAATTGGATCTCTAACGCTTTCTTTACTCCAGTGTTTCATTTATGATAAACAGGAATAATGGAATGTATTAACAACATCGTTGGCTGCTTTTATTAATAAATCAGCTTTAAATGGAATACTTTATTGTCATCACAGTTATGTTTTTAATACAAAGATATGGAAGAAGACAAAGGTTGAGGTTGAGCAAAATGGTTTACTTACACTAATCATAGTTTCATTATTTTGATCTTGATATTAAAAAATTTTATAATTAATCTTCTCTATAAGAACGAAGACCAAATAGTTTTCTTTCTCTATCTCTCTCTCTCTCTCTCTTAACATAGTACTTATAATGAACTGAGTTTTCTTTATTTCTTTCTCTCTTTCTCTCTCTCTCTCTCTCTCTTCCTCTCCCTCTCTCTCAACTTAGTACTTATAATGAACTGATCTATCCATATTTTAAGACAATAAACAATGTGAATCTATTAATTACCTCAAATAAATAGAGAATATAACTTATCTGTGCTCTATATTTATAATATCGTATCTCATTTAAGATGACATACATAAGATATTATGATTGATTATGAGAAGATACACCCAATTTATTAATATATTTGATAAATTTTAATAGCATTAAGTATGATGTAGTCTGATATTAATATTACTTGTTATTGATAAACATTTTTGTTCTTATTTTTTATTATTTTTATTAATTAAAAATTAAAAAATATTAAAATTCTCAATTTTTGAAAACGCCACTGTTCCAAATTGTTTTTATAATTACTTTTATACTTTTTAAGCACACATGAACACATTATTTAGCTCGTCGATACACCCCAAGGGTTCACTTCATTGCAGCTACTCTACTCTGCCATATTCCAGAACATATGTCCGTCAGTCTGTTTGTTTGTCTGGCGGTGGATTGCATCTATCGGATATAAATTGTTAAAAACACTGGTAAAGATGCTTGGAATAAATTTTTTTTAACATTTTCTGTATCGATGTTGTTTGGTTTGCTGATGAAGGGTCTTGTTTACCTCCGCAAGTGAGCATGTGTGCGTGTATCTATGTGCGTACGTTGCAATGTATAATTTCCACACAAGTTCAGATACATTTCAAAAAGTACAAAAGGGACAAGGTAAGCGTTACAGACGCTTTTTGAACTGAAATGATATTTTAACACGGAAAGCATTTAAAACAAAACTGGAAGATTGAGTGAAACTCGAAAACTTCATTTGTTTTGAGGCTTCATTTCTGTTGTTTGGAGTTTTTATTAAAATATTTAATGCTGGGAATTCATATGCTCATGTGCTCATCTACAACACTAAAATATATTTAAAGGGAAGTGAAATAGCGGAACTGAAATACAAACATAAACATCAAGAAAGCTGATGAAATTCTTTGGAAAATTACAACAATTATTAGGTTGAACCCAAAATAAACTGAATGATTTCAATTAAAATTTAATACCACAAATAATAATTTCCTTGTAATTATTTTGGCAAAAAGTTATTTATAATTAAATTTATTTATAAATTTCTTACAAACAATTAGAACGTTTGAAGTCATATAAATCATACAAAAATAAATTTCTGACTTTTATTGAAGTACTAAATAATTAGTAATAAAACCAGAAATAATCTTATAATAATTCAGTTCTTCTTCAGTTTTAAAATAACTTTTATATTTTCGAACACCTCTTATCTATATATCCTATTACAAGAAAGTGTAAAGTTATTGATAGATAGTAAGTCATCGTTTTATTAAACACCGTACAAATCGACAGAATTGTTATTATCAAGACCATAAAATTGATAGATCTATTGACCATGATTTCTAGAACGATATTGCTTATGCAGAGTCAGCAATTTACTTGCATTTTATTAAATATGTGTACTCAACACTTTTTTCCTAGAGTATAAATATTATAAATAAAATTAAATTAAAAAATAGAATACTCTTTTACAAACCTATTATGAAACAAGCTCTGTGCCCATTTCTTTCTGGTAAACCATCCAAATGAATTGCTAAGAACATATATAATAGATTTATATTCTGAAAAAAAAACGTTAAAGAGAATAGTCGAAACGTCATGGTAGATCAGAAATTAATATATTTACAGAGACCTATAAATTGATATAACTACAAAAAAGCTTTAAATATAGAGTGGTAGAACTTTTCAATGTTATGAAAGTATCTAAGCTCTATGCTCGATTATTCAAACTCAGAAGTTCCTTATCAATGAAAGAATGATGAATGTCATATGCAGCTCAGTTGAATGAAATATTTTTTTAAATTTAATTAATTTTTTAGATATATTTAATAATTTTCATAATTTTAATAATTTAAAAAACTTATGTTGTTAAATAATTTCTTTTAAGATAGATATAGTTTTAAAAATATAAAAACAAAGATAAGTTAATCATTATGCATCAATAAACATGTATATTATGTATATGAATATAAACCTTCGATCTGGGGTGGGCTTGAGTTTCAATCACTTAAGTATTCATCTCACCAGTGGCTACGTATCTAGTTATAGGTTATATTTTAAAAATAAAATATGAAACATTATGAAGAATAGTAGCATTATATCGAAATCTTCACAACCTAAGCTATACACGAGTGTATACTAATATTAACTTTAAATATGTTTACTTAGACTTAACATTTATTCTACTTTAATTACTTTGAAAAAGGAGTCCCCAAGTTAATGAAGACGACTTGACTGCAGTCCTGGACAGAAACAGAGAAAGTGATTGATAGATGCTACCTCTATTTTCATCTTACCAACTCCTGCATAATCCACTTGTTTGAACTCGCCACCGTTGAGGGCATAGGCGCAATGGCACAGTGCCCCCGATAGTACTCCAGTGAGTACATGAACTACAAGTTTGCTAAAGCTCAAAAATCTTTTCGTTTGTTTTTGTCTAATTAGGCCATAGGGTTCTAGCGACCTCTCAGTCTTCGCGTTATCCTATAAATTGTTAGTCACCGTATTGGTGAATCCTCTATGATCCTAAAGAGTTCGTATATCGATGTTTGTACTGAGAGGGCGGCCTTTTAAGACTATAAGAAGGTGTATACCATAATACATCATTTCTGTTTAAAAAAAAAATTTTGGAATGACAAACTATGTATGTATGTATGGATGTATGTATGTTTGAATAAATTAGACAGTAAACAAAAAAGCAAATTTTATTTCAAAGAAAATTCAAAAATGAAATCAACCATATCTCTCTCTACTTCTCTGCCTTTCTTCCAATTAAAAGGATGTGCTGGCGATCAATAAAGAAAATACTCCTATGCAGCTATGTAAATATAAAATCCTTTTCGGAAAAGTCGTAAAACTCCAAAGATAAAAATTTCAAAGACGTACGTGCGTTACAACACGTGCTACACGGCAAATGCGTGTATCTACATTTGCTGCGCGGCATTAAAACGCAAACTCGCTGCACTCATGCACTTACGAATGGATAGACGGATGGATGGATGGATGTATCTGCGTTTTTCATCTGGTAACTAATTTCGGTGCAAGCCATAAAAGTTATTTTATATAGTTTGACATAACTGTAATTTAAAACCTGACTTCATAAGACCGGACTTCTTTTATTTATTTTTGGTAAACCACGAAACGAGACAAAATGTAGAACTGAAAAACTGGAATGTGAAGAACGAAGAAGAATGCAAAGTAATTGTAAGTATGTAAAAATTTTGGATTGAAGGAAAGCCGTAAGAGGTGCTTGATAAACCTGCTTTCTGATTTAAGCACATTTGTTGCCAAGTCGAGTTTGAATTTTTGTTTTTTATTTGAAGTGATTTTTATTAAAAAGGTAATTACATTGCTTGAGTTTTATTTTTGTGTAATTATTGGTTGCCGCAGTACATTTGTGTATCTTTGGAAGGGTCAGATAGGTCTTCAAGTTATCGTACAATAAACTGAAGAAACTAGTTTTAATTAATCGCACTCAATTTTTCTACTTGCG